CTACCCACAGGAAAAAGATTATTATCAAACTATAATCAACATTAGAAATTTGAAAATAGAAATTATTTAGTCCTAAAAAGTAAACAGGAACCTAGAATTCTTTATTTTACCAAGTTACATTAAAGCATCATTAAAAAAACAATAATAGAATGAATATACTGTAAACTACAATAATATTTTGTTTCCTCAAGGAGAAAAAGAGAATTAAGAGAATCTGATTAAATTAAGCAATGTAAAATATTTTGAAATGAAGTAAGTGAATATAGGTATAGTACCACAGTAAATGTAACTAAATTCTTTAATTAAAAACAATCTCAGATAAAAAACATAACCCAAAATCTGTTTATAAGCAGCAGCATTTCTATTTAAAAAGAAAAATCAGTTGGGGCTGGATAGATGGTTCAATGGTTAAGAGCACTGGCTGCTCATGGAAAGGACACAGTTTGATTCCCAGCACCTACATGGCAGCTAACAACTATCTCTAACTCCAGTACCAGGGGACCCGATGCCTTCTTCTGACCTCTGTGGGCAGTGCACGACATGGGTGCACTTACATACATGCAGGCAATAGACTCATAAACATCAAAGTATAAATAAAAATTTTAGAAAAGTCAATCATAAAGAATCCACATAGATCAAATTAATATTTATTTATCCTATAGCTTCCATCTAGTTGTATACTTGCTGGTCCTTTTCTCTGTAATACAGTCTAGCTTATCATAAGATAATCTCAATAAACCTGTATTGGATAGTGTCAACTGTTCATTTGACACACCTGGGAAGAAGGAACTGCAATTGAGGAATTTACCCTATCAGATTGGCCTGGGCACATCTATGAGGTATTTTCTTGATTACTGAGTGATGTGGGAGGATTCAGTCCAACATGAGCAGTAGCACTCCTGGGCAAGTGATCCCAGGTTGTATGAAAAAGCAGGGTGAGTACAAGACAGGGTAGTAAGCAGGTAAGCAGCATTCCTCCAGGGTCTCTGCTTCGGTTCCTACCTACAGGTTACTGCCCTGAGTTCCTGCCTTGCTTCCTTTCATGGTGGACTGTAAACTGTAAGATGAAATAAACTCTTTCCTCCCCAGTTTGGTTTTGGTCTGAGTGTTTTATCACAGCAATAGAAAGTAACTAAAACAAAACCTAAATACACTATATTCCCCTTCCCCAAGAGCCCACCCATTATCTCCTAACTCACTGAAAGAGCTCAACATTTTACAGGTAAGCCAGCAAGAAATACAGTGCTTATTATTGACATCTCCATTTATTTCCTGCCTCTCATTACTCAAGTCATTATTAAATCCTATTGATTGTACCAAATAACATTTGTTTTTCCCGGTTGTAGGGAATAGGAATTTTGAGGGCCATTTTAGGATGCACCACCACGCCCGGTTGTAGGGAATAGGAATTTTGAGGGCCATTTTAGGCACAGAAGGCAAGAGTGAGGAGAGAGAGATGAGTTCCAAGGCAGTGGTAGTGAGAGGAAAGATGGTGACATGTTAAAAAAAGGAAAAACAGCTGGGCGTGGTGGTGCACGCCTTTAATCCCAGCACTTGGGAAGCAGAGGCAGGCAGATCTCTGTGAGTTCAAGGCCAGCCTGGTCCACATAGTGAGTTCCAGGACAGCTGGGGCTACAGGGAGACCCTGTCTCAAAAAGACCGAAAAAAAAAAAATTCCTATTCCCTATTGTACATGTATTGTATATTTCCCTCCCACTGATGGCTGATTTTGACTGATAACTTGATTGAACTGAGAAATGAGAGATTGGCTAAGAGATCAGAAATGAATACCTCTGGGTGTATCTGTAAGGGCATTTCCAGTGATGATTAGATTGAGGGCTCTAACTTAATCAATGATTAACTCCATTGATGGATTCAAACTCTGACAGATTAATGGAAAACGGTGGAAGTGTCCAAGATGGAGCCAGTGTGGAAGAACTGTCACTGGAAGTATGACGTGGTGTTTCTATTTTCCCTGGCCCCTTCTTGTGGCTCACTCTGCTTCCTAGCTGCCATGAACAGCTCTGTCCCTCCATGTTCATCTACAATGATAAACTGCCTCGAAACAAGTCCAGACATTGGCCTACAATGGACTATAAAACTTGCAAAACTGTAAGTCAAAAGTAAATCCTTCTGCCTTGAAGTTATTTTCTTACATGTTTTGTCACATTGATTAAAAGTCAACTATAACATTCCCTAAATATAAACTCCAAATGTAGGAATAACTTTTACAACACAGACATATCTATCCCAAAAATTTTTACCTAACCTTGCACCAAAAAGTTACTGTTTATAATGTAACTAAGTTCAGTGAGCCATGTGTTCCTCTTACCCCTCAACCCTACTTGCTCTCCACCCAACATAGTGTAAAGACAGATATGAATGTGCATAACCAAGGGTTACATATCAAGGCCCATGCTTTTCTCATTGCAAACAATGAGAAAAATCTATTTGTTGCTGTTGTCATTGTTTTGAGAGAGAGAGAGAGAGAGAGAGAGAGAGAGAGAGAGAGAGATGCAGATCCAGATCCCAGGCTTAGGGATCAAAGGGCAAAATTCTCTGACAAGATAAAGGTGGGTTCTGACTTTGACTTCCCCATTTCATGCTGGACATACTGTTTCAATAAAAAAAGGCCTTGCTGGAGAGCACAGTCCCAAGGGACATCTGAAGGAACAGGTGCCAGACAGCTCTGACCCACTCCTGCCTGGCCTTATGAAAGATGAGAGTCAGGTTATCTCTTTTTAAGCAGCACCATAATGTGATTTAGAAACGCTGTATCAAAATATGAAGGACTTCACTCTTCTAACTACTTTATGGGTTCCAAGCCAGCTAGAGCTACAGGGAAACCCTGTCTCAAAACAAAGAGTTGTCAATATTTTTTTTAAAGGGACAGGGGAGGGGCGAACAAGGAAAGTATGAGGAGTAGTAGATAACTCAGTATTCGAGAAGGATTAATCCTATATGTGGAATAATGCTTTCATTTATCATTATAATCTACCATCTATTTGACCTATGGTATTAAAATGAAACTGAATGAAGATAGTATGGGAATCTAGCTCAGTTACTTATCTAACATGTACAAGGCCTTAGGTTCATGACAGGGAATAAACAAAAAAGATTAAGATCCTTAAAGAAAAATGTAAGCCTATTGCTTAAAATCAGTTTAATTTTATTTAAAGACACACACACACACACACACACATTGATCTGATCCTTCCAATTAAAATGAAAATTCACAGTTTTCCAATAAAATATTTTAATTAAACCAAGAGGTGACCCACACGTTTAATCCCAGCGCTAAGGAGGCAGAGGCAGGTAGATCTTTGTGAGATCAAGGCCAGCTTGATCTATATAGTGAGTTCCAGGCAAACTGGGGTTACAGGGAGACAACAGTCTCAAAAACAAAAATTTTTTAATTAACAATTTTTCTTTATTGTTATTTTCATCCCTTAGTGATCAGCCCTAAACACATACACATACAGAAAACACTGACTGGACACAGTAAATTGTATGTATGTATATATGTACAAACAATAATTACAGAAAGAGTTCATATATTCCAGAGTGGATGGAGGGGTGATGAGAGTTACAGAGAGGGGTGGAAATCATGCAAATACAGTATGCTCATGTATGAAATTCTCAAATAATTAAAAAATAAAGGAATAAATTAGAAAAAGAAAGACTACAAAATGGCTGGAATCAAAATAAATGTTAAGAATCTATGTTTTATTATATTGATGATGCACATTATAGAGATAACATTACCACTGTCAACAAAACTGTGTGATCCCTTCATTTTTATACAGATTTTAAAATAATGACAACTTTTTTAATTAGAGAGGGAAAAACTCACAAACCTTATATTCTAAAATAGCCAAAATGCTCTGATGCCAAAGAAAATCATACCTCTGCCAGCTTATATGGTAAAATAAGCTTTTCTCCCACTGTCACTGTCTTCCTTGTAACTAATGCTTCAAACAACATCTCTTCTTTAACCTACAAAACAGGAAAGTAAATTCACATATAAGATTTGTGACAAAAGACTGACTTATTATACTGAAAAGCCAAATAGAGAAAAAAACTTTAATATAAGTCACAAATATACAAGGTGGAACTTAAGCATACCACTAACCATAATTCTTCCTCCAAAAAGAAAAAGTCAATAAGACAAATTAAACTTTTTTAAAATTTTTGTTATTTTATGCGTATGAATGTATTGCCTTCATGTGTGTAAGTGCACCCATGACACACAATGCCCATGGAGGTCAGAAGAAGGCATCGGAGTTAAAGATAGTTGTAAGCTGGGAATTGAACCCAGGTCCTCTGCAAGAGCAGTCAGTGCTCTTAACCACTGAGCCATCTCTCCAGCCCCCCAAATAAATCTTTTTTTAAGTATGCTTCCAGGGCTGGAGGTTTAGCCCTATAGTACAGAGTTTGCCTAGTATGTGCAATGACACAGGTTCTAGCCACAGTATCATACACACGCACGCAAACACAAGCACACACACACACAAACACATGCACAAAGGCATGCAAAAAAAAAAGGTTTTAATTGTAATAAAGCTGGGCACGGTAGCACATATCATTAATCTCAGCAGAGTGAGGCAGATCTCACACCGAGGTAAGCCTGGTTTACATAGTGAGGTCAGATAGAGCTGGATAGTGAGACTGTCTCAAAACAAAAAATAAAACAAATTTAAAAAACACCACCAAAAAAATAAAAACCCACAAAAAAACCCCAGATTCTTTATTTTTCATTTTTATATGTACTCAATGTATTTGAATTTATTTGTGAACACTTTTATCAAATGTACTTAACCTTTTTTGGTATCTTATTGCACACCTATTTTTCAGATCTGACTACGCATAATTTAGCTTAAGTTTATTCAATGTAACTACTATTTAGCATTCCAGAATATAAATGTATCACAGTATACAATCTATTCTCCTACTTACAGGAGTGTGTGTGTGCGTGTGTGCGCGTGTGTGTGTGTGTGTGTGTGTGTGTGTGTGTATCATATTTATACTATAATTTTCCACAATTAGAAAACAAGCTGCAATTAATACTCTTGCACATAATGTCAAGATTTTCTCTGATGAACAAATCCAAAACTGGAAAAAAACAGTTTATAATGTACATAATGCAGCTTCCTAAGATACTGCAAAACTCCTATAAATAATTTTTACCAATTTGTTCTTTGAGCAGCAGCCCTGAGAACTCTTGTTTTTTGAAAGTTAACTACATTTAGTATTATCAGACTTTTGAATGCTATACCACTGATGGGCATAAAATGGAAAAACAAGGTAGCTTTATAAGGCATGCATACATAATAAAATATAATACTTGTAAAACTTTATATAAGCAGCATTATATTAAAATATGTCAAGCAGGGGCTGGAGAGATGGTTCAGCAGTTAAGAACACTGGTTGTTCTTGCAGAAGACCTGAGTTTGAATCCCAGCACCCACATGGCAGCTAACAACTGTCAGTAGCTCCAGTCTCAGGGGATCTGACAGCCTCTTCTGACCTCCGTGGGCTTTGCACAACACGGGCGCACTTACCTACATATAGGCAATACACGCATACATATAAAATAAAAATTAATTTTTTTTAAATGTCAAGCAAAAAATATTAAGATTGTAAGGAAAGGTTGAATTATAAAATAAAACTGAGAAATGTTACCATACCATCAGCAATGTATGACAATAAAATGTCAATTTACGAATTTATAACTTTGTTGACAATTTATTTTCAGTAAGTGTTAGAAGGATAACTTTAAACTATACTGAATGGAAAAATAGGTGCCAAATTTAAAACCATTAAAAATATATACCTCCTTTCAAAGTATCCACTGCTCAATTCCCAAACAAAATTCAAAAACAGGAACTAACTTGAGGTATGTTACCTTTACAAAAATACAGTAAAACTTATAATGAACAACAAAGCTTAATATAAAACTTTAGCTGTTTAGAAATATTTTAAATAACTTTGAAAAATAAAAATCACACTAAATTTTACTAAAATAACAAAGCTAAGACAGCTGGGGAAAAAGTTCTTTTTAAAAAACACAAAGAAATATATTATGAAATACATTTCTATACCTATTAAAACTGGTGGGGGTTTAGCTCAGTGAGAACATACATCTTAGCATTTTAAGGCCCTGGACTCAACCTATACAACAATCACAAAAATACCTAAAAACAAATTACCTATACTGTAGATTCAAGAAATCATTTTAAATATTTTTTATATGTGTATGCATATACTGCCTGCAATACACATGCACCCGTGTCGTGCAATGCCCACAGAGAACAGAAGAGGGTGTCGGATTGCCTGGAACTGGAGTTATGGACGATTGTTAGCTGTCTTGTGGGTGCTGGGATTCGAACCTGTGTCTTCTGCAAGAACAGCCAGTGAGTGCTCTTAACTGCTGAGCCATCTCTCTAGCCCCTCAAGAAATCTTTTGAAAGGAATGAATAAATATAAGCTAGCAATGACATGAAGCAAAGATCACTTTCATACATTTGAGGAAAATGTATAAACTGGTAAATTACTATGGAAAGCTATTTTTCAATTATGAGTAAAGATGAATATATGTAGAAATTATAAAAACTACAGAACTGTCAAGCACGTTAATAATGAGATATACACAAAAATAATTATAATAGTCATACAAAGAAAATTATAAAGAACTTCAATCCACACTAACAGAAAAAAGATCAACTACATCTTATTTATATAAAAAATCATATATAATACTTAGAAGAACCTAGAATATATAAATCATCATTAAAACGCTCAAAAACGGGCTGGAGAGATGGCTCAGTGGTTAAGAGCACTGGTTGTTCTTGCAGAGGACCCTGGTTCAATTCCCAGCACCAACATGGTGGCTAACAACCATCTGTTAACTCCAATTCCAGAGGATCTGACGCCCTCTTCTGACCTCTGAGGGCACTGCAAAATACAGGTGCACTTACATATATGGAGTGCATAACATTCATACACATAAAATAAATATAATAAATAAAAGCAAAACAAGAAACTCCAAACAATATGGAAAAGAAGTCTTATTTTGGAATTACATATACACACACACACACACACACACACACACACACACATATCATTTATATAAAATACCACAAACAAGTAACACAGAATTACATTCTTTTTAAAATTACATTTTAGTTTATTAGGGGTGGGGGGGTATGTGTGGAGGTCAGATGACAACTTGCGGGAATGGGTTCCTTCTACTGTGTGGATTCTGGGGGTCAAACTCAGGTTGTCAGGCTTGGCAATAAGCAACTTAACCCACTGAGCCATCTCACTGTCTCCAAAATTATATTCTCTATGGAAATATTTACCTACACAGAAAATGTTTTAAAAGAATGGACACCAATTACGGTAGCACATGCTTGTAATTCTAGCACTTGGGAGGCAGAGGTAGGAAGGATCAGGAGTGCAAGGTCATCCTCAGCTAATGAGTTCAAGGACAGCCTGGTCTATGAGACCAATGCAAAACAAACCACCCAACCAAGAATAAAAAAATAAAAAAAAACCCACCAAATTCATAACAGTAGTTAACTCCAGTAAGAAAGGGCATACACTAGACTTCAATATTTTAGTATTGAGGTGGAATGTGTTTATTTATTTGTGACAGAATCTTACACTTTGTAACCCAGATTTGAGTCCAGGCCTCAAAATCCTGGTGGACCTCTTCCCTCAGCCTTCCAAGTGTTGAGATTCTAGACATGGACCACCACACTCAACTGGATTATTATGTTTTAAGTTTTGTGTTTATATAAGTAATATGTGCACAGACACATCTGTACAGGTGTTGTAGATGCCAGAAGTCAAAGTTGGGTATTTTCTTCTTTTACTCTCCATTTAATTTTCTGAGACAGGGTCTCTCATAGAAGCAAAGCTCACTGATTGGCTATATTGGATAGCCATCTAGCTCAGATTTCCCTTTCCTGCTTCCCTGCGTAGATCCATCCATCCCAACCCATGAAACCCTTCCATGCTAGAGTTATAGATGCACATCACCATGCCCAGCTTTTACATCGGTGCTGTGGATACAGACTCAGATCCTCATACTTACACAGCAGGCACTTTAGCAACGAGCTATCTCCCAAGCCCTGAATTTCTCTTTTAATCTGTCTCCAACTATTCTTACTATGTCTGACAAGGGAAGAAATACTAAACTAGGACCAGAAGCCTTGGTAATCATGTCTAGATTAAAAACAGGACCAACAGGCGCAATATCCTAACATAATAATACTAAATGGTTGGCTAAAATATTAACAAAAAGGCTAACTGAAATACCATTTTGTCTCTGACCTTCAAAATTACAACCTTCAGATATCAGCGTCTATCTCTTGGTAGAAATTTATTACAATGAGTGAGTCTAGTTATAATTAAAGGCAATCCTTTTTCCTGTCTCTTCTGCCAGGATGTCATTCCATTAAAGTTAATAAGCAATGTTTAGTCATATATAGGGGAAAAATAAACACTCTGCAGTTAGGTAAATGAAAAAGAGCCATCTACTACTCTCAGTTGGCACTGAAGCATTCTAATGGATATAAACTAGTAAATAATTAACTTTTTCTCTGAAATCTAACCTAAATTATGCCAAGGGGAAGGAAATGTTTATATGCATAATGAATTATTTTAGACTAGTTAATGAGATTAAACTCCTTGAAGTGGCATATGAACCAAACATTTGAAATGTTTTTAAAAGCACAGCAAGCTATTCCTAATTGCTCCAAATTGGAAACAAGCCAAGATGTTCTTTACTACATCAATGGATAAGCAAACAATGGAAATATTACCCTGAGGTCAAATAAAATGTTCTATGTGGCCACAAAAGACAAGGATGCATCTTAAATGCATGTTGCCAAGTAAAATACTTGACTCTAAAAACACTATCAACTGTATAATTATATTACATGTGAAAATGACAAATCTAAAGAATTGAGTTTGAGATCAGTGAAGCTGTTCTGTATAGTGCTATAATTGTAGATACATGACTTCATACACTTATGAAAACCCATGCAGCACAAGACTGAACCTTAATGCACACACATACAAAAAAAGTTTTTTTTGGACTAGGCCCGGAGAAGCCACTGCGCCTGCACAGTGGCCAGGCAGCCCAGTCACGTAATGCACAAACATTTTTTTAATTATTTACAATAGGTGAGAATTCCAGGAAGAACAGACCATGATGAGACTCTAACTGTATACAAATATATGAAACAATTACAATGAAGGAGGGAAGAGGAAAGCTAAACAACTTTGAAAATAAATGGAATCTGTACAACTAAAGGCAACATAAGAATTATACTCTAATTTAAAATCATTTTCTACAGATATAAAGGTTCCAATTCAAATACCACTATATACATAGACTGGACATGGGTAGCTGAGAGTGAGAAAAAGGTTTCTTATAGAGTGCAGTATGTAGGGAAAAAACTAAAATGACCCATGTGAAAATGGATTTTTAAGCCAGGCATAGTGACACACGCATTTAATTCCAGCACTTGGGAGGCTGAGGCAGGGGGATCCTCAGTGAGTTCAAGGCCAGCCTAGTCTACATAGCAAGTTCCAGGCCAGCAAGGGATACAGGGAGACCCTGTCTCAAAAAGACCAAAAAAGAAAAAAGGATTTTTAAACATTAGTATAAAATTATCAGTTTTATATAGATACAAGTAATTAAACATAAATCTCTTTATAGATCTGTATATACACACAGGTTAAAAAATACACATATATTTCATTAATCTGTCAGGTGAGACAGTCTAAAAGAAACAATACCCCAGCTGACAGGGTAAATCTGGTAAGATGAAGAGTTTTCTGTAAAGACATGACAAATCACCACTCCAGAAAGAAAGAATATGGTAAAATAGGTCTTCATGTACAAGGCATAACAGATGGTCTTTAAGTTCTCCTCAAGCCATTGAGAAAATAAAATTGCAAAGTTATACTTCTTCTCTCTGCTCACTAAGACATGCCATCTCCAAATAAAATAACCACAACCTTACTAGGAAAAGAAATCTCCAATATATTAAGGGCAAAATTAGCATAGGCCCAGAACATTATACAGTGTAGAGTGAAAATATTCATTCTATTCAACAAAATGGGGAACTGTGCATGTGTGAGGTGAGTGGAGGCAATGAAGAAATCACAAATCTCCTAAAAGATCCTGACATATTCAAGAGTAAAGAAGGCAGATGTCCAGGAAAAATTCCAACTTTTGGAAACACTATTTAAACATATTTAAAACATACTGAGATTAGAGAACTGACTCAGTGGTTAAGAGAACTAGCTACTCTCGTAGAGGACCTAGGTTCCATTCCCAGCACCCAAAAGGCAGTGAAAAACTGTAATTCCAGTTCCAGTAGATCTGATCCACTCTTCTGGTCTCCACAGGCTTTTGCAAATACACACACGAAAACACTCATACACATAAAATGAAAACTAATAAAGTCATTCTTAACAAAATTTTAAAACCTACTTAACATGTATAAGGATGTATGACAACTGAGAATTTAATGACTCACTTCTAATAATTCTGAAACAATAGGCAGTACTTCAGGATTACAGATATCAATAGAGTCATCTCGGTACGTCTTCTTTTTATAGCAGATGTTACCCAAATGTAATATTGCTGACAGGAGAGAGAAAATCCTATGAAAATAAAAGCACAGATTAAAGCTTGGACATGTAAATTCCCAAAGCTCATTTTATTTCAAAATACTAACTAAAATTTCATCAGTGCAAATTATGAAAAATTTAATTATATAAAATTTTAAGAAAATACCTAGACACATTTTTATAAATAGATCAGATTTATCCTAAGGAAATAACTAGTAAGGCATACAGATACAATTTTTAGGATACTTTTTTTTTTAATTTTGATTTATTTTAACTTTATGTGTATGAGTATTCTGCATGCATGTATGTGAATGCAGCACATATGTGCAGTGCCTGAGGTCAGAAAAGGGTGTCACATCCCATATAACCAGAGTTTTTGACTGTAGTTAGCCACGTGTATGCCAGGAACTGAACCTTGGTCCTCTGGAAGAACAGCCAGTGTTTTCAACAGTTGTTTGCCAACTCCCTTTTTCTTTCTTTTTTTTTTTAAATACATGCATATCTGTCTGTGACTTTGTGCTCATGCGTGCAGTGTTCAAGGAGGCCAGAAGAGGGTGACTGATCTCCTGTAGCTGGAGTTACAGGTGACTGTTAGGAACCTAGGAACCAAACTTGTATCCTCTTCAAGAACAGCAAGTGCTCTTAACCACTGAACAAGGCTCAGGGAATATAGAAGACAAATCCAAAGAATGTAAGAGCTGGAGGGTGGGGAAAACTGGTATGAAATGCTGTCTTCTGGGCATAACATGGCCATTGCACTCATCATCTCAGAGTATCCATGGTTACCCTGCACAAGATCAAGTCAGTCAATAATTCCAACATGGATATGGGAGGGATTAATAAGTTTCCACGCCTAGCTGAGAAGCTATTACAACTGATGGCTGCTGGGTGGGGAGAGTCATTTTCAGGCATGTGGCTATTGGTAGGTTGCCTATGTTCATGTATGCAGCGTAAAATGTACTCAGTGAATTTAAAAAAAAATGAGAAGATAATAAAGGTGAGAGGGGCAAGTGTTAGAAGGATCTATTGGGAGTGGGAGGAGGAAGCTGGGGTAGATATAATCAAGATACAATATATATACATATAAAACTGTCAAAACATTTTTAAAAATCTAGGAAAAAAAACAAGGGAGAGAAATGTCTCAAAAACACAACATGACATATTCTCTACTGGAGGTATAAAAATACAAGTAAATAAAAAATTTTAAACTCACTGTCTTCGTGTCTTCGGAAGAAATCCAACCATTTCCATGGCCAGTTGTAAGCGTTCAAAATCATGCCTCAAATCTTCTCCCTCCACGGTGAAGCAATCCTGCTTAAAATAGGGGGTGGAGAGAAATATTAAAATTACCTAGTTTTAAAAAAATAAAACCAGGGCTGGAGAGACGGCTCAGCAGTTAAGAGGACTGGCTGCTCTTACAGAGGACCTGGGTTTGATTCCCAACACCCACATGGCAGCTACGAACCATCCTTAACTCCAATTCCAGGGGAATCCGAAGCCCTCTTCTGACCTCTGCAGCATTGCATGACACAGGTGAACTCACATACATGAAGGCAATACACTCATACAAATAAAATAAAAATAATATTTTTTAAAATAAATAAAATAAAACCAACATCGACATTCATAAATTTAAGTATGTGCCTGTATAAATGCAAATTAGACCTGATAAAATACTTACAACATAGTCAGACTCATTAAAACCCTCATCTTTCTACAGGAATGCAAAGCAAACATATGTACCAAATTCTAGTATTACTTTTCTTCTTCCCTTTACAATCACCAACACAAGGATCTAAAAGGAACAAGGCAGAGAGCTAACAGTAGTATTTATAAAACATGCTGATACCAGCTGGGCTTGGTGGCCCACACCTTTAATACCAGCCCTTGGAAGGCAGAGGCAGGCAGATCTCTGTAAATTCAGGGCCAGCCTGGTGTACATAGCAAGTAGGCCAGCTAGGAGACCTGGTCTCAAAAAGAAAATTAAAAAAAAAAAAAATGCTGATACCAAGTTTTACTTTTAGTAGTTATGAAGTGTTCTGGAGATTCAAAGTATTTAGGAGCTCAAGTCTACAAGAAGATGCTAATTTATTCAATAAATATTTAACAAGTGCCTAAGACACTGAATTAAATCCTGGTGACATAGACACAGAGACAGACAGACACACACAGGCACACACACACACAACTCAGAAGAGGTGATATGCAGCTGAGAAACAGATCCTAGATTTATATATTATAAACCACTTTGTGTTACAGTAGGGTTTTTGTTGTTTGGGGGTTTTTTGTTTGTTTGTTTGTTTGTTTGTTTTGAGACAGGTCTCCCTGTAGCCCCAGCTGTCCTGGAACTCACTATGTAGACCAGGCTGGCCTTGAAATCACAGAGATCTGCCTGCCTCTGCCTAACGAGTGCTGGGATTAAAGGCATGTGCCACCACGCCTGGCGGGTAGTAGGTATATTTTTTAAAAAATGTTGATCAGCCAAAGCAAAAAGAATGTCAAAGCATTAAACAGCTCAAAAAAGTGTCCTCAAAAATCATGTCACGGGGCTAAAAGATGGCTCAGCAGTTAAGAGCACTAGCCACTCTTGCAGAGGACCTAAGTTCGATTCCCAGCACCCACATGGAGGCTAACAGCCATCTTTAATTCCACTTGCAGGGGATACAAATGCCTCTTCTGACCTCTGAGGGCACTGCACGATACAGGTACACCTACCTACATGCAGGCAATACACTCATACACATTAATTTTTTTAATTTTATGTGTATGAGTGTATTGCCTGCATGTATGTGAGGGCACCCATGTCGCAATGCCACAGAGGTCAGAAGACGGCATCAGATTCCCCATGAACTGGACTTAAGAACAGTTCGTAGCCGCCATGTGGTGCTGGGGATCAAACCCAGGTCCTCTGCAAGAGCAGTCAGTGCTTTTAACCACTGAGCCATCTCTCCAGCCCACACATAAAATTTTAAAAAGAAAAATTTTCAAACAAAACCATGTCATGGGGCTGGAGAGACAGGCTCAGTAGTAAAGAGCAGAAGACTTGGGTTTGATTCCCAGCACCCCCACAGTGACTAATCAACCACCTGTAACTCCAGTTCCAGGAAATCTAACACCCTCTTCTGGCCTCTGTGATAACCAGGCACATATGTGGTGCATATACATACATACAAGCAAACAGTCATTCATATATAATAAAAAAAAAGATCCCAAACCATGTCATATGAATCAGTAAAAGTAGTTATTGAGGAGCTGGAGAGATGGCTCAGCTCAGTAGTTGAATATACCTGCTACTCTTCTAGGACACGAGCTCAGCTTCCAGTACCCACACTGGTTTATAACCACTTATAACTTCAATTCCCAGGAATCCGATGCCCACTTTTGGCCTCAGCGCACAGCCACACATACACTCACATAAACAAAATGAAAATGTTTTCTTAAAATGGTTGTTGAGGGCAATAAGATGGCTCCATAGGTAAAGCACTAGCCTTACAAGCCTGCCAACCCGAATTCAAACCCCAGAAATGACAACTTGGTGAAAGAATATTGACTCTAAAATGCTGTCCTCTGACCTCCACATACATGCCATGACACACGCATGCATGCACACCACCCCTTCACACACTAATGATAAGCAAATTTCTTTTTTTTGTCTTTTTGAGACAGGGTCTCCCTGTAGCCCCAGCTGCCTGGAACTCACTATGTAGACCAGGCTGGCCTTGAACTCACAGAGATCCGCCTGCCTCTGCCTCCCAAGCACAGGGATTAAAGGCATGCGCCACCACGCCTGGCCCAAAGATAAGTAAATTTCTTAAAATGCAGTTACGGCTGATAAGATGATTCGGTAGGTTACCAGGCCCCTGCTGCCAAGCCTAATGATCTAAGTTTGATCTCTGGGATACACACAGTAGATGCAGAAAATAGAGTCCACAAGTTGTCCTCTGACCTCCAAACATGCACTGTGACACATGCATACAGGCACATACACACACAATAAAAATAAATTAAATTGAGCCAGGCATGGGGGCACACGCCTTTAATCCCAGCACTTGGGAGGCAGAGGCAGGTGGATCTTTGTGAGTTCCAGGCCAGTCTGGTCTATATAGTGAGTTCCAGGACAGCTGGGGCTACAAGGAGACCCTGTCTCAAAGACAAAAAATAATTTAAAAAGATAATTATGGAGCTCAGAGCAAAGGTACATGCCTGTAATACTAGCACTAAAGAGGTAAAAATAGGAGGATGAGGAATCTGAGGACAGCCTTAGCTACACAGAGAGTTTAGGGCAGATTTAAGGGAAGACGGGGAAAAATGGTTGCCGAGTACCAGATATGAAAAATAATTTAGAGGCTAGAGAAATGGCTTAGTGGTTAAAAGTACTTGCTGCTCTGGCACAGGACCAGAGTTTGGCTTCCAGCACCCAGATCAGGCAGGTCACTATCAACTGTAATTCCAGCCCCAGGGCATCAGAGTCCCTCTTCTGGCCTCTGTGGGTATCCACGTGCTTATGTACAGATACACAGACATTAATACATTCACATAAAAATAAAATACATTTTATTAAAATTTAAAATACTATATACTTTATTTTTAGGTCAGACAGTGACACATGACTATAATATCACCATTCCAGATGTAGAGGCAAGAGAATCACAAGCCCTAGGCCAGCTCTTGTCTCAAAAATCAAAACAAAACCACATGAACAAATCAACTTTAGTGTTGCCTTTACATTTCAGTTCCCCAAATAGTCATAACATCATACACACAAGCTAACTCTATAATTCTTCACATGTTCGCACCTTTTTGTGGTTAGATTGTCAAAAATCTCTCATATCTGAGGTTACTTTTTAATGCCTAATGCCTATCTTCCAAGAGAATGTCAAATCAATTACTCAATAAACACAAGAACTGCCACCTGTTTTATTCACCACAAATCTCAGCATCAAATCAGTACCATGAGCATAAAAATCACTGAAGTAAATGCAGAGTCAAAACAGCCAAAAATAAAAACACAAAATGCCATACAATCAGACCCTAAACTTCTTGGAGCCTGACTAAAGCACTGGAGTTATAACGTCTTATGCAAAAATTTAGAGTCTAACTCCTAATGATCCACAGCACCTTACTCCAAATAGCTGATCTCAAGAAAGACAAATGGTGCTATAAAATGGATTTGACAAAGGAGTGAGCAATGTGCACATCTACTCAAAAACAGAAAATGCACATTCTCTCTAGGAGGAGCAATTCTCTTTCAGAACTACCTCTTATTGCCATTATGTTCTCTTGAATAAATCTTTTCTGTGTCTGTTCTGATCTGGTAATACTTTCACCCCCCACTACCTGAGCTTGTCAACATCCTTGGCATGATGGTAACTGTACAATCACTGAATGTGAATTCAATGGACTGAAAATTACCTTATTGAAAAATAAAATACCTTTTTTAAAAGTATCTACCACGTATCTTTTATTAGGCACTACAAGAACTAGTTTATGAGTACATCTTGACAGAAAAATTAGGATTCAGTTTCAAAATGCAGCCAACATTTTTTTAAGTTCTCTATGTGGAAAGGTGCACATACTCCAAAAATATTTAATTCACTGCAAGAAGAGTGCCAAGAACACATCCATGTAATTTTCTGAGTATAAAGATTTTGATCAGCAGATTTAAGACACATTCTATAGAAATGTCAACATCTTTATTAAAAAATAAATGCTTTTTTTTTTCGGTCTTTTTGAGACACGGTCTCCCTGTAGTCCCAGCTGACCTGAACTCACTATGTAGACCAGGCTGGCCTTGAACTCACAATGATCTGCCTGCCTCTGCCTCCACACCTGGCTAAAATAAATGCTTTTAAGTTATTATTTTTCTTTGGCCTGAATTAAAATTTTGCCATTTGTTTATTACTGTTTTTAGGGTTTCACACTGAAGCCCAGGTAGACCTGAAACTCAAAGCAATCCTCCTGCTACAGCTTCCAGAGTGCTGGGATTATAGGAATAAGCCACCATACCTAAACAGTAAAACATTTATTTAAAGCTTTTTTGCTTATTTCCCCAAGACCTCAGTTAACTAATTTTATGATTCATCGAACGTTTTCCATGACAAGTAGGAAATAAATACAGGTTTATATTGATATAAACTCAATGTATACAACGATTCTTGTAACTGATGTTTTTATTTGTCCCCAAAGTGAATGAAACAAGGCACATAAAATACTTTCATTTTTGCCGGGCATGGTGGTGCACACCTTTAATCCCAGCACTTCGGAGGCAGAGGCAGGCGGATCTCTGTGAGCTCAAGGCCAGCCTTAGTGAG